GGAGAACTTCAAGACATGTTGAGGAGGTAATTTAGCCATTTAAATCAGCTGTGTTGGATCAAGGACACATCTAAAACCTGCAGGACACCGGCCCTCGTGGCCTGGAGTTGCCCACCCCGATGTAACTCAACCTCCAGGTGTCTCAGCAGCTTGAAGCTTCTTCTCTTCTTCATGAGTTTGAGACCTTTCACCCAGAGGAGGCAGAACTTCTCTGAAGACCAGCTGGAAGGCTGAGCTGAACTTGAAAAGTTAATGGTCAGACTCTTACCTGGACTACCACAGGTGTGACAGAGCCGCTGAAGAACAAAGTAAAGGTGAGCAGCTGGAAGCACAACACACACCTGAAACACACAGTAGTGACAATGTGAGCCACCACTGGGCACAGACTGCACACACTCAGTAGACATGACAGATCCAGTTTGAGGCATTTTCAAGTTTTCAGCACAACAGACACCCAGACACTGCACCATCCTTTCTACCCACCTTTCTTTCTTACTCGCTCCCTACTTTTCTACCTTCATTTCTTTCTACCTTCCTACTTTTACCTGCAGTTTGAAGCAACTGCAGACAGACAGGTGTGTACTGAATCTGGATTGTGAAACAGGAAGTAAAGTTAAGAGTTTCAGCTCAGAATTCACCTGCTTATGGTTCGCTGCTTCTTATTGGTTGATGCTGCAGCCGCCTGCAGCACTTTACTTATCACCTGCTTCACCTGCCTCAAAGCCTGATGGGAGGCTGCTGGATCGAGGTGCTGCAGCAGGAAGTCCCTGAGCTGACAGGAAGAGGAGGAGCTAAAGGCTAACAGCAGTGGTCAATGATAATTTATCGTCCCCAATGGGAAACTGATTTGCAAGTGAAAGAGGATGTGCTAGCAGTGAAGTGTTAGCAAGTCCTACACAGGAACATGTTTTACCTTCACAGGTTGGCCCCTCGGATGCTGAATGGTCATTACCACGCTGATGTCATGCAGGAAAGAAGTCAGCGGGGTCACTGAGGTTACCAGGACATAAACATTCACCATGGCAACCAGAGCAGGAGGCGGGGCTTGGCTGTCAGGGAAACTTTAGAGAAACAAGAAACGTTACCTCACAGAACTCAGACAACTTTCTGTCAGCTGGTCACATACAAACCTGTCCAGAGGAATCTGCACCTTCTGATTGGTCGATCCACAGGCATGAGGGTTCATGGGTAAACTAGACTCTGAGAGAAACAGCAAGAGGTTAGCTGAGACCTTCAGATTAAAGCTCAGTTCCAGGAAGTGCTCTTATTTGGCAGTAATGTCTAATGTTGGATGAGCACAGATCATGCGACTTAGGCCACAATCAGCTGATCTATCACATTTAATCAAGATCAATAAGCTGATTTGATTTACCTGCTGCAGACTCACCTGTCAGCTGGTAGTGTGTATAGAAGTGACACAGACCTCCACCTACATTTGAAAATGCCTCTATCAGCCCAGGCAGCAGGTTCACCTGAGCACACACACAGTTTAGCTGTTATGTCATCAAACATGCCGTCAGTTGATACAGACAGGACAGGAGGGGCTCACCGTCTGATGACGCTGCAGGTGAGAGAAGGAGATCCTCCTTAGACAGCTCTGCTCTGACGTGCTGAGGCACAGCAGGAGGCTCCACCCACCAATGCCTGTAACCATGGAGACACACAGAAGCCTCACCTGTAGTTCAGTGGAGTTTTATTCACAAAGCGACAAATCACGTCAGTCAGGTAGATTCAGATCAACGGCAGCCTGTGAGGGGCATCGTCTTCTTTACACTTTCAGAGAAAATAAAAGAGCCACCTGCACGAGTCACAGCTCGCCCCAAACTCTGCACCTTTAACTGTGAAAGACCACAGAATCCAAAACCACCGGAGGCCTTTTCTACTTGTTTTACACAAAGAAAACGGGAACATGTGGAAGCGATTGTTGACAGGAAACGCTCTGCGGTGGGCTTTTGGCTGGAGCTGTTTGGTTTCAGCAAAAAGAGAACGAAGCAGGATGTTCAACACAGACAACTTTACTTCAACAGTGGGACCATGCTCAAGCTGTGAACCAATAATACACAGATTTAAACCTGATGTCCATCCATCCATCCCTCCATCCCTCCCTCTCTCCATCTGTCCTTCTGTCTATCCATCCATTTGTCCATCCATCTGTCTGTCCATCCATCCCTCCCCCTACAGTGAAGACGAGTTGAGCTTCTGCTTCGTCTCTTTCTGTGTTGTTTTATGACCAAACATGAGCTAAAGGAACTTCCCGTTCCAGCTTCCTGTCATCCTCGGTCTCCAGAAAGCTTCACTTCATGCTCTCAGGTTTCTCTCAGCTTCTCCTTAAACCTCAAGCTTTACTGTCTCACTGCTCCTCAAACATAGGGGGACACAGACGACACAATAATATACCTGCCACTGATCAGGCTAGGTTATTATGTAATTAATAAATAATAATACATGACTAAAGCCAACATGTTCTTACAGGGATGGTGTAAACAAGGCCTCTGGTGATACTGATATAATGTTTCTTAACACTGACCTTACAACAAACATATAGTGTAATGAAAGGAAACATGGTGATGAATCTTTGATGAAGGGTGTTAAGTACATATCTGATAGAATCATCCAATCAGAGGTTCAGATCTCTTTGCCTCCACAGGATTCAGTTGATGTGGTAATGAACATGTGAATAAATCTGCATTGTTATTGTTACCCTCACATCTCCCTGAATTGTTCATGATGTTCAGTGCTGTTGATAAATCATCTCTGAATTTGACATCAGCAGCTGGATGATCCTCTGGTCTGTTTTTTTGAGGCGAAGTGGGCGGGGTTAAACCCAGAGTGACAGGAAGCATGGAAGCCCCTCTGTGGTAACACAGGCGGAGGCCATTTTTCGGTCTTGTGCGTGCTCATGTTTCTCTGCCGTGGCATGCACTACTGAAGTGATTTTCCACAAACACTCACTGAGGTCCATCTGCTTTCACAGGAAGTCTCCACCCTCCTCCACCCACAGGAAACCCTGACCTCTGCTCGCTCATGTCGCTGTTTAAAGCTCCAGCAGGGCAGGGCCATCTGAGCGCGCTCACACTGTTTACATGCTTGATATACAGAGACTGTGTGTGTGTGTGTGTGTGTGTGTGTTTGTCTTTCTGACAGGTTGAAATGTTTAAAGAATGGTTCATTCAGGATCAGATTCAGAGTGTTTATATTCCCAGCAGCACCTGAAGCCAGCACAGCTCCCCCTCAGATGTATATTTACCCTGCGTGCTCCTCAGGAAGCTGCTGGTCTCGGCGTATCTGGACAGGTGGACCTCGTAGTCCATCTGCTGCAGGACTCTCTGGTACAGCTGGACCTCGGTGTCTGAGGTCGGGTGTCGCCCCGTCAGAACCACGGCCCGGTGCCGGTGGGGGGTCCTCTGAGACGAGAGCTGCAACTGAGGGGGCGGCAGGAGTTTGTGTGAATCAGAATGCGAATCAGAATACTTTATTAATCCCTAAGGAAATTATGTGGGTTACAGTTGCTCCAAGACAGTAATAGACTAAACTCTTTAAATAATACAATATGTTACAGAGTTTACAAAAGTACAAATTGGTGTGGAGAACATTTTTGTGATAGCTTTAAGAGAGTTTGACACAGCTGAATGACACCCGGCATGGTAGAGCTCCAGTTCATGGAGCGCTCAGAGATGAACATTTAAACCATGAAGCTGTGTTAGCCCTCAGACTAAGGTGAGCTTGCCGCTCTGATGATGGCTGTCTGCACACGTTCAGCCTGTCAGGTGTTTCTTCTCACCAAAGAAGAAGAAATGCGGTCAGCTCAGGCCTGCAGCTCTGAGGCTGGGATGCAGTTTTCCTGTTGGGTCAGTGGCTGTGATGTCAGCCTCACACTGCTTCCTGTTATGCTTAATCTAACACTTTCAGCTTCCTGTCAGCTGACACAACGAGGCAGCAACGCTCCACTGTCTGGACTCCAGACAGATCGATCACAGACAGTTCTTTATCAACTGGGATTTTTACAGAGAAAATTCCAGATTAACTCAGCAGGAGGAGCAATATCAGACCATGAAGCCCACATTCCAGACTGATGGACCGAGTCACATGACCCAAAACACCCTCATCACACCCCCTCCCCAGTTTTAATGTCTCACTCAGTTTAATGTGATCTGTGATCCCAGCGTGTTCACTGCTACAGGATTAGAAATGAGAGAAATGATTTTACACATAAATACATTTGAATAATGTCATTATAGCAAATATAATATAATAAAAATATATAATAAAAACACAGATTTTTAATTAACCTCTCCGAACAGCCAATCAGAGTCCAGCTGATGGATCAGACTGTTTCAATTACGTTAACCCGTTCAGGACCCACTGACCATCACCCATGGACAGGACTGTATTTTCTGGTTAGTCAGAGTCTTTTCAACCTCTGAGAGCTCATGAGGTAACATGGTGTTCTTGTCATGGTCCTCTGCTCCTGTCAGACTGGATTAAAATAGATGTTGAGAATCTGCTCCCAGCAGTAAATCCTCACGTCTGACTGGAAGCTGTGGGGAGGAACCAGAGAAGTGAACAGCTGATGGCCAACAGCTGAGAGTCAGCTGACACGAGAACAACATCGACCTCTGACCCTGAAGAATGGTCAAAGAAAAACCCAGAAACTTCCCGAAAGACCTTAAAAGGTTTCATATCACGTGAAGACACCAGGGACGGCCTCTCAAACATCAGACACACCAAAGAACCCTGAAGACACAAAAACAGAGCCTAGAATTTCCTAGAGGTGGAATAATCAGGCCCTGCATCACCCAGACACCAGTACATACCACAAAATACCTGTAGTATTCATAAAAACCTGAAAGAGTCAGGAAAGACCCAGAACCCTCCTGAGAGACTGAAAAATACCCCAAAATACTCTGAAAGAGCAGGAACCCTGCTGAAGTCTGTGGAGACCATTGTGTTCAGGGTGACCTGCACGGTGAGCCCTCTTCTGCTGTCGCTTTAATTCTGCGGAGGTCGAACGGCGCACACAGCAGAAATACAACATTCAAACCTTTATTTAAAGGATTTTTTTTTACGTCTTACACACTAATAAAGACCATTCAGATGTATTAATGAAGTTTGTTTGTCTTCATGCATAAATACTCAATAATAAATTCCTTCTCAGCTGTTCACGTCCTGTGGGTTGGCAAAATGCTTTATCGATAAAGTTTTACTGAGCCACAGCATTACGAAGATGTTACAGCTCTTCTTGAGTGGTGTAAATCTAAACTCATTATCAAGTTTTCAGATGAAGATGGAATGAAAGCTCATTAAAGCCTCAGCGTTACTCCAACTCTGACCTCTGAGCTCTGAACACGACACTCAGTAAAAGGTGAAGGATGAGCAGACAGGAGTTTACAGCCCTCATAAAACAAACCAAACACTGTGAGTGTGTGTGTGTATGCATGCGAGTGTGTGTGTATGTTTACACTCTTGTTATCTGTCAGAAACTGGATCCTCGTGGCAGAAATATTTCTATCGGGACACCAAGCACCAGGACACACTTAAAATACCCAGAACACATGCCGACTGGATTGGCTGGCTCTGATTGGTCCATGCAGCTGTCAGTCACCCCGTGGTAAAATAAAACCCTCGTGCTCACAGTCGTTCATCCGTCTGTGTCTAAAAATATAGCAACAATGAGACAGAAGGAGCCTCGGCCCAGCAGGAATCCTCCTCCAGTGGATGCATTGAGAAGTCCATTCAGAAATCAAAACATTTTAAGAAGACTTCACTCCACTCTGCTGTCTCAGGGTCGTTCACATGTATTTGAAGTGTTTTGGTTAAAACAGAGCTTTGGGGTCATTTTGGGTTCAATAATAAAGTTTATGTGAAACCAATGAGACAGTACAGTAATAAAGTGCCTTAGGAGAGATCTAAACATGAAACACATTTGAGGAAGTTTTAAAGCAATATGATTTTCACTAAACTCTGACACATGATAAAGTGGAGCACAGTTTGACAGAGTTTAACTGGAGTGAAAAACATAGTGTTTGAAAGGTGACGGTCATCTAAGACTCTGGAAATAATCAAAACAGCCTGACGTTTGGTGATGGGATAGTGGGGCGAGGCCTCGGGTGCCTGACCCTCACTGGCTCAGTGCAGCTGCTCCTTAAATGTTTGCTTTTGTTTAAAATTGAGTTTGGTGAGCAGCTTTACTAAACTGATGCTGGTGGGGGTCACTGTGGGCCACTCAGAATGACGTCATAGTGTGACGCAGGTATGCTCACCTGTGCGTGTCTCTGCAGAGCCTCCAGAGTGCACACGAACCTGCGGGTCAACATCTGGAGCGAGGGTACCTTGTAGCACACATCTGACCGCACCGGCTCGTCCCCCACCATCAGGTACACACAGAGTGCGAGCAGGAGCGCGAGCAGCAGCAGGGGCGGGCCGGAGCGCCGGCGGAGCAGCGGGACGCACCGCATCACCGGAGCGCGAGCTTCACCGTATCTCCGTCACCTCCATCACCTCCGTCAGCTCAATCTGAGCCCACTTAGGTCAGCACAGAGCATGCGCAGTTTGAATCCTTCATTAGAAAATAAAGTCCTGCTTTTACGTGTCCCGAAGACACGGGTGCGCGCGCAAGAGAGGCCGTGACTGCCGTGCTGCTGAGCCGTGCGCGGAACTGAGATCAGACGGAGGAGCCACGAACTCCGCAAACTCCGAGCTCACTCCTTTAAATGGACACTGTATGACTCCTCGAAGTCAAGTCTGCGCCGTCCTCCCCTCATTATCTTCTCCTACTTCGTCTAAACTGCTTTACCTCCTGCGCTGGAGCCACGCATCAGGCTGGAGCTGCTGTGGAGTAGCGGGACACCATCTGGTTTGAGTTAAAGCCAGCAGCAGGAGGAGGAGGCTCCGTGGTCAGGTTTCAGGTCCTGGGTCCGTCCTCTCCTCCAACTTTTCTGCACACAAACAGGAGGAAGCTGCTTTTCCTCCTCTCTGCCAGGAGTCTGCAGGAGGTCAGCTCCTCCTCGTCCAGATATTTCAGGCGCGCGCACTCCACGTGCGTGTGTGAGATATATATATATATATATATTCGCGAACATGCGTGACTATGTGAGTTAAAAAGCTCTCACTGTTTCTGCTGACCAACAACTTTCAAACTGCATCTTTCTACTCTAGAATCTGGAAGACTGGCTGGCCCAGAACTACAGCTGGCTAAACGTTCCTATACCAACGGGACCCCCACACCCACCCCCAGAGCTATTAAAGGGAAATTATCCACAGAACTGTAAACATATTTATCTGCTATTTTGACCCGGGAGTCCCCTGGCTGACCTCTGCCGGACGGTAGAGGAACTGCAGCTACATCAACTAATAAAAACAAACTATAAAGCAATGATGTGAACTGGCTCTGTGGTCTTCAGCAGAGGTGGGTAGTAATGAGTTACATTTACTCTGTTACATTTACCTGAGTAAGTTTTTGAGAAAAATGTACTTTTAAAGTACCTTTTTTGCACAATACTTTTTACTTTTACTTGAGTACATTTGTGAAGAAGAAACGGTACTTTTACTCCGCTACATTTGCAAAATTTGACTCGTTACTTTTTAAAAAAAGAAAAATAGAAAAGTATATTGTTCTAACAATATACTTTTCATGTTTGTACAATATACTATTATGTTAGTACAATATAGCTTTCACGTTTGAACAATATAATATCACGTTATTACAATATACATAATTATCACGTTCGTACAATATAAATATTATATAGGCTACATCGCAGCTCCAGTCACGGCTTCCATCACTGTCTTTTAGTGATGTGTAGGTCGCGAATGAAATGGCTCTTAGAGCCGGATCTTTGACGTGAACGACGCGAGCCGGCTCCTTATTGCGAGCCATGGGGGTTTTTTTTCTTTCTCTCGCCCTCTCTCTCACACTTTTTTTAAAATTATTTGAATATATATGAGTGCTTGTGTATAAATACACAAACAATACACATATGCTTTCAATTGTGTAATTTAAGTGATCTAGGTAGCTCTGTTTTGGAAGTTCAGTTAATGCTAGAATTGTGTTTTGGAGTTTGTATGTGTTTTGTCTCTAGGGGCCACCGCATATATTTATATATAAACATATATAAATAAAACCACTTTTTTTTTTACATTAGTAATTCCTTTTGTGCATAATTTTATATTATTGTTAATAATAAATTAATTAAAGCAACAAAACAACCTGAAGAGCCAGTTCGGAGCCAAAAGAGCCAGTTCTCTAAAAAGAGACGGAAATCCCATCACTACTGTCTTTCTCGTCTTTTCCCAGAGTAACAGCCAAACAGGAGGATCCATTGGCTAGCACTGTTTAGCCTTGCACGCATTCTTATTTTAAACTTAATCTGGAATTCATTGCAAACTGTTTGTGCGGGATATGAATGACAAGATTTTGTTTTTCTACAAGAGTTAGTAAAAACATCTCCAGTGTGATCAAATCTTCTTGCCAAACATCTGCAGCTTGGCAGTGTATACAGCACTATAATGACCAGACCTAATTCTTTTGAAAACCATACATCTTTCCACAGGTCTCAACTTCATCAGACAACACCTAGACACAGAGCTGGATGAGGCCAGCACAAACAGCGGCCTAACCGACTAAGATGATGGATCCATGGGGTCAGGAAAGCCAGAAGAAGGGGAGCTGGAGAGGTACCTTTCATGTCCATTCACTGGAGGTGTGGATCTATTACATGGCGTTCCTCACATCAAGAAGCTGTCGATCAGAATCAGTACAGCTCTTCCTGCACCTGGAGCTTGTGAAGGACTTCTCAGTCATGCAGGACTCCTGTTCACTGCTGAACAGTTACAGCTTCACAGAAAGAACCTTGAGAGCAAACTGCTGCTGAAGCTTAACCAGCACCTCACTGAGTGAAGAAATGGCACATTTTTGCTAAATATGCAGAAATAAATGCAAACCCATACAATTTATGGTAAACTGAGCTGCCTTGTATGTACATATGTTGAAGATGCCTCGTTCTAATGTTTTCTCTTAGGCTGCTGTGCCATTTGGAGCAAAAATGAATATAAAGTTCACAGCATATCTTGTCACTGGAAATTGTTTGCACTGTTTATATATTTATATTATTTACTGTAGGCATTGGTGAAAAAAGCTTTATGTTGTGAAAAACTGAAATCTGGAAATTAGAATTGTTGTGCCTTATTTTGTTGATCTTTTTACATATTCCTGTTGAAAATACTAAAATCTGTTTATTTATTTTAGTTTGTCTGATAGCATTTATTTAAAAAATAAATCAGACATTTCAAACAGTTACTCGCTACTTGAGTAGTCTTTCCACCAAGTACCTTTTTACTCTTGAGTAACTTTTTTGAAGACTACTTTTCACTTTTACTTGAGTAATAATATTTTAAAGTAATGCTACTCTTACTTGAGTACAATTTATGGATACTCGACCCACTTCTGGTCTTCAGGCTTAGAAACTTGCGGATAATCTTTGTACACTGACTTCAGAGACACACAGATTTAATTAATAAACGGCACTACGTGGCAGCCTGAAGTTCTTACCCACCAGATGTTTACAGTTGTGACAGCCGCTCATAGCAAAAATGGAGGAAAACTGTTTCCATCAACGCTTCCTGTTGATGCCATTAGGTCAAATAAGAACAACGCACCAGCTGATTTACCAAAACATCGCTTTATTGGACTCTTCATTTTAACATTTGTCACACACACACGCAAACCAACACGGCACAAACCAACACACACGCACACACACACTCAAAACAACACAACACAAACCAACACACACACACACACACAATACATTCTGGCTTACTATGGAGGTCAAATGAGACTCATCTAATTTGGCTCCAACAGGCATCCATAGTTGTAGTCCAACAACCCATCCTGTTTGTAGTTTTAAATGAGTGAGAGGGGAGCATGGCCTCATGGGAAATAATTTCAGCTCTGGGAAAAATCTGCATATAATGGAAGGAGACAAAAAGACCTGGTTTACAAACTTGGCTATTCCAAGTGTAATCCCAGATCAACCAAATATAAAACCTGGGTTGTATCTGTGCTCTGACAGAAAGACTCATTAATTATTCTGACCAGTTTAAAATGTCAAGATTAACTTCACTGAGTCTGAATAACAAAGACTAGTTTTGGCAGAGACTGTGGTTGTTTTTAGGCTTAGACTGAACCCAGGTTTTATTTCTCTCAGAGCTGACATCACTTCCTCCACACGGCTTTAAATCCTCAGTGTCTGATGATCAGCAGTTTGCTGTTGGTGACCTCTGACCTCAGCCGCCTCTAATGAAGGTTACAAGGAGATGTGTCTATTTGTGGCGGCTGCCCCTCCTCTTCATGGCTGCTGTGCACTGAGGGCAGTACCACTTCCCCTTCGGCGCCTCCGTCAGGCCAACACAGCCGTAGTGGAACCACTCGATCGGACACTGAGGACATACACAGACACGGTCAGCACATACACACAGACACCCGTTTCCATGGGAAACGGGTAAGAACCTGAAGGTAAAAGACTCACGTCTGTGTTGTCACAGCCGACCATTTCTCCATAAGAAACCTGAAACACAGAAGAGGAGTCACCATCATTCTATGAGGCCTCGTCAGTGATTGGTCCATCAGCGAACCTGATGTGTGCGTGTATGTGTGTGTGTACCTGGTTACAGATGCAGTATCGGGGCTCGTTGGGGTCGTAGGTCCAGTCCACCTGACTGTTGGCCTCGGCTTCGGGCAGCACCGATGCCTGCTGGGAGAGCTCCTGAGCGAGCGCCGATGACGAAGAACAGGACGACAGTGAGGAAGAGGATGACGACGAAGACGACTGATGGTTGGAAGACTTAATGCTGCTCCTGTAAAACAGAAGAAGAGTGAGTGTTTATCCATGGTGAGCGCTGGAGGCAAGCAGCCAAGATGGTGGTCTTACTTGGACTTGCGTCCTCGAGAGTCGGAGGTGGTGCTGGGGGTGAGGGTCTGGGTGAGGGTGGAGGCGAGGGCGGAGGAGGAGTATCCGGCAGTGCTGTCCCGGGACAGAGCGAAGTCCCTGCCCAGCTGGAAGTCGTTGTTTTTGATGGCCTCATAGCTCGCTTTGAGGCTGGACGTCCGCCGGCCCTCCTTCATCTGCTCACATGGATACATCAGCAGTAAAACATTTAGGTCATGCATGCATGCATGTTATAGTCTGTATGATACTGTATGTGACAAATAATAAAGCTCGTTTGTTTTGTTTGTTTGTCAGTAACACAGACAAGCACATCCCGTAGCCAGATGTCAGATTTTCTACCATCCTTCAGTCCTTGAACTAACCAAATGTGATTCAAGATGTCTGATTTAAAAATTCTTTGACCTGCTCTTCTCAGACTGACAGTTACTTGAAACTTCAGGTTTGAGTTATACCGGAAACCCAACTAACATAGCAAAGCAGCAGAGCTGAGGCACTGATTATGATGAACAGGATGTCTGCAGATGACTTCAGAGGTGATGGAGACGGATCAGCTGCTCATGCTGTGAATGTGTTCTCTGTGGAACAAACGTTTCTGGAAGCTGTCGCTTTTTTCAAAGAACCTTTAAAAGATTTTAACTGATCCAAAACGACAAGTTTGGCCTGCAGGTGTAAACACCTGAGAAACTCCACCCCTTCTCTAACTGGATGTTCTCTTACCTGAGCTGTGGCCTGCACCGCCTGGGCGGCAGCCATGGTGATGGCACCGGCTCCAGCTCCAGCTCCGGGCCCTGAGGACAGCGAGCTCAGGTTGTAGGCCATAGGCTGGGAGGAGTTGACGCTGTACGCATTGTTGGTGGACGAGGACGTGCTGTTGGTACGGCAGCCTGCCGAGGACACACAGGTGAGGCAGGCAACACATGGCAGGCGGTCAGAGTGCTCTGGTGAGGGTCGTGGCTCTTACCTGGCGTGTTCTCTTTGGAGGCGTCTGACGTGAGCGTGGACAGCAGAGCTTCAGACTTGAACTTCTTCTCTGGGACGTGTTCTGTGGTGTGGTGGCTCGGAGCGCTATATTTTCTCTCTGAGAGCACACAAACATGCAGTTAAGCTGAAACTTCGTGTTTCAAACTGAAAACAACACAATACCATCACCATGTCCCGCCCCAAATTCATCTGAGGTTTACACTGCTTCAATCTGACACCATGTTTATGTTTTCTGCTGTTACCATGGTGAACCGTGGTGTGGCCAAGAGTGGGTGATTTCAGTCGGTTAAATCAGTGTGGACGACTCAGAGAGGCTCACTGTGCTTATGTCACAGCTCCCGCGTCAACTCAAACAATCCCGAATGACCTCAGCAGGTAAGGTCTAACGAGAACAAGTATTGTGACGCTAAACTTTTAAAAGTTGCTAACAACAGCACGGGGACGAAGCCAGAGAATGAGGTTAGTGTGGGCTAAGACCCGGGTTATCACTGCAGTTCAGGTTGATGCGTGATGTGTGACATCAGCAACTGGGAACACCTCCCACCTCGTTTACGTCAGCATGACCGCTGCATGTTTCTGTATTCTAACATTTTAACAACTGTTAATCATCCTCAAAAAAATATTTTTATTTCTCATTCTCAGATGAACGACTACACGCCTCTGAAGACGCTTTCAGGGATTCATGTGCATGGATTAGGTGGTCAATCAGTATGGATCAGGAAAGATGCAGGCGCTGATCCAGACAGCAGACAACAAACAGATCTGGTGTTGCCATGTACTCACTCTCTGTGGCGGCGTGTGAGTGAACGTGGTGGTTGTTGACAGGCTGAGACGGGCTGTCCATCTCCAACGATCCTGAGCACAGATATGTGACAGGAAGTCAGGCACACGTTACAGGAAGTCTAACATTCCCCTGCCGAATACAACCAAAGAGCTACTCACGTCTCTCAAGGATCTCAGTGATGCCAGCATTGTCAGCCTCCAGCTCCATCTTGAACTTGGCCAGTTCCTGGTCCAGTTTACGCAGGTGTCGGTCCACCTGAGACACAGAGGATCAATGAGGTCAACAACGAAAACCAATTTTAAACCAATCAAGCAGCTTTTCTGTGACACATGAAGAATCTTTAAGTGTTGGGCTGATGGATGTCTGGATGTGTTAATAATCTCACAGATGCCCCCAAAAGTTGATTCTTTTCATCTGGACGTAGCATTTTCAATGGGAGAAATGTTTCGTCACTCATTCAAGTTACTTCTTCAGTCTCAGCTGACTTCAGGTTTCCCCAATCTCATAAACAGTACATTTGCATTATGACTGAAACTAACACCACTGAAGGAACAATGGGCTGGAAGGTCAGTTCCTTGGCCATTAATATGCAAATTCTCATAACCCTTGATCATCATTGACTGATCAAATCTCACAGATGAGTGATCAATCTAACCAATCAGTGATTTATACGTGAAGGGTCTGAGTTTAGCTGGTATCTTTCAGTGATAGTGACCATGCTCTCAGACTGCAGGAAAAGTAACTCCTTGTGCTTTTTTAGTGGCTCT